CACTTTTGATTTATCAAGATATTGTAAAATAGTAATGATAATATAAAAGAAGAGTGTTCTTTCAATTGATTACTTCAGGATACAATTAGACACTCTCTGGATGAGCTAATTTGTATTTCTGGATTCAAATCAATGAAATAACAGTTCCTGTCCCATGAAGGTCCTCAGAGGCAGGTTTTGGTCGGAGGCCGAGTTCACTACAATCTTGTTCACAAGTGATGGTAGGATGGAGCTTGAGATGGATCAGCTGATTGGGGCGACATCCTCAGTAATGAAGGTGTTGCTTCAGTCAGTCGTGGTGTAGAGAGAACTGAGTCGAAAGGCAAAGCTCTCGATTTACTGGTCGTTCTACGTTCTGAGTGACCCTCACCTATGGTCTTGAGGTTTGAATCATGACTGCAAAAACAAGATCCCAGATTCAAGAGGCAAAAATGGTCTTGCTTCGCAGAGTGGCCGTGCTCAGCCTTAGAGATGGGGTGAGGAGCTCCGTCATCTGGAGTAAGCTCTGAGTAGAGCCACTGCTCCTCCGCATCAAAATGAGTCAGTTGAGGTGGTTCAGGCATCTGATTAGGATGCTTCCTGGATGCCTCACTTTAGAGGTTTTCTGGGCAAATCCCACTGGTAGGTTGCCCTGGGAAAGACCCAGAAGTCGCTGAAGGGATGGGGTATCTTTTCTGGTCAGGGAACTTTTCAGGGTCACCTAGAACAAACTGGGAAGAGAGAGGTCTGGGTTTCTCTCCTAGACCCGTTGCCTCCCCGACCCAACTACATATAAGTGGTAGAAGATGGAGATGCAAACTTGCTGGGGTCTTCCAGAGATTTGAGACTGGGACAGAGGTTCACCTTTCAACAAGACAAGGACACACTGCTGAAGTGGTTCCAGTGGTTTAAACAGAAACTGGGTCAAAACTCAAACTCTGACCCCAGTCCAAATGAGAATCTCTGGTATGAATTAAAGGATGCTATACACAAACTGAAGGAGCTGGAGCATTTTAGTCATGAAGAATAGACAAAGATTGTAAAGGTTAGATGTTCCAAGCTTGTGGAGAGGAACTGAAGGAGACCTGCTGTCTGTATCTGTGTTTTTGGTTATTCTTTGGTAGTTTTGTGTCTTGTTATGTTTAATCTTCTTCAGTTTGTTCTCAGCGTTTTGGGCTTTCTGGGATTAGTTTCTGTTCCTTAGTTTCTGTTCCTTGGTTTTCCTCGGTGGCATTAGTTCAGATCCCGGGCCTCGGTCCTACCACGCCCACTCTCATCTGCTCCCAGTTTTCATACAGCCCAGGTGTCTCCACTTTCTCATCAGCTCCAGCAAATATTATTGTCTGCTGTTTGTGCTCCCTCAGTGGAGCGTTGTGCATTGTATGTTGCATCCAGTTCCTTATGTGCTTTCTGGAGATATATTCCCCAGTTTCTGTAGGTTTTGCTGCCTTGACGACATTTTGTTTAAAATAAAGTTTAATTTATTGTTAGAGCACCTCATGTTCGGTGTGCATCCTGGGGTCCAAACCTCCTACCAACTGTGATATTTGCAGATGTGATTACTGTAAAGGTGTTTATACAAAATTTGACTTTGAGAAAGTGAATTGATCTACAAACTATAGATTTGTTTTTTTTGGTTTGTTTTTTTACTTTTTGATTGTTTGCTTGTTTAGCCTCTTTCAGTATATTTTGAATCTTCAATATATGAGATATCTTGTGTAAATAACATACAAATCTCTCAGATTCCTTTTTAAATTTTAGGTTTTAAAGCAGGAAACTTTTATAAAAAGATGAACAAAAACTTGCACCACTCACTGTGAATCTAAATTTTGGAGGTGAGTTCAACTTTTCTTGTTACACAATGGTGAAAACCATAAAACCTGATGTACAGGGGGACAGTTTCCATGAGAACGTGTGTCAAACGTTTGGGTTCCTTTGAGTAAAGCATGCATTGTCACAGTTCATCAGTCTTATCTGCACTCACAACACCTCGTGTGTCCAACTGAATAAATAAAAGTCACATTGAGAAACTTTATCTTTCACAACAGAAGAAACAAGTTTGTTTCAGAATGGAGGTCATCACTGAGTCCACCAGCATCAAGAATGCAAAATCATCCATCTGAAATGTGCTGGAAGCCCTTGAACAGAATCAATATTTTCCAACAGAGAACTGACTCCAGTTTTTGTTTGCTGAGGATTTGTTTTGCACCAGGGAGCTGAAACTGGACTTAGTCAATAAAAGTTTAGTCTTAATGGTATTTGTTTTCCTAAGTGCTCAACAGGATCTTCATAAAATTACTGCTCAGGTACACATTTCTGTTAGTTTTATCGGAGGCCATGTTGCACTGTTTGCATCTTTTTTCTGCTGAGGAGATTTAAAAACAATGAGTCAAACTGAACTGATAACACACTGGTCTATACACACAGTTAATTTATTATGCTCACAGAAAATCTTCTTTTAGTAGTTTACTCGTTGGCTATAATCATAATTGATTGACCCTGAAAATAAATTAGCAAATTATTTTATTATATAAGATCACAGTCCAGTTGTTGTTAGCGTTAACATTAAAGATGCCTGTACATGTAATTAAAAACTGCATTTAATTCAAATCTTTAAAAAAATACTCTTAATCCTCTTGAAACTTTGCTGCTTTTCAAGTGTTTACCACCTGTAGGAAGGTATATAATGTATAGTAGAACATAATGAACACATTAAAGTTCAAGCTATTTTTTAAACCATTTGTTAGAACAAAAGATCAAATTTGGAATTTGATGGGAGCAACACATTTCAAAGTTGGGACAGGATCATGTTTCCTCCTGTGAAGTAGCCACTCCTATTAAAAAAAACTGTCTAAGCATCTAGGAACTGAGGAGATCAGTGGTTGGAGTCTGTGGAGAAGAATGTTCTCTGATCTTGGACTGATGGGGGTTTTAACTGTTCAACAGTTCTGGAACATCATACTTTCCTCAATGGGAGCACATGTCATTTTAAACTGTGCTGCACTGATGATGCCTTTTCAGAATTCTAAGCTGCCCATGCCAGATGCACTAATGCACCCCCATACCATCAGAGAGGCAAACATTTGAGCTGTGTGCTGATAACAGGCTGGATTCCTCTCCACTTTAGGATGGAGGATGTGGTATTTGTGGTTTCCAAAAATAATTTCAAATTTTGATTTATATGACCACAGAACAGTTTCAACTTTGCCTAACTTCATCTGAGAACTCTGAGAGTTCTTCAGATTCATGAAATCTTTTAATTATTTTATGACGTATAGATGATGAGATACTCAGACTTCCTAATTTTACATTGGAAAAATATTGTGAAATTGTTCAACTATTTTTAGATGCTGTTTTTGCATACTTTTAAAAGACTTCTACAATCTCTTTAAAATGTTATTTTTAAACTCAGCCCTCTAGAAGATTAATTGATCTAATTCAATGCTAAATGCTCCTCCAGTTGTTTATTATTCATACCACCTACTTTTACAGCCTTTGTTGTATCGGCCCCAACGTTTTAAGTGTTTTTTTCATTCAACCTTTATTTATACAGGTAAATCCCATTGAGCCTCGAGGACTCATTTACAAGAGAGACCTGATTTCAACAAAGAAAGATGACAACAATGGACAACAGCAACAACAATAAACAATTATAAAAAGTAATACTGCAG